AATATCAAAACCAGTCTCGATAAACAAATGCGTTTTTGGCCTTTATTTAGTGGCAAAATCAATATCTTTCGCAAATTTCAACAAATACACTGCAATTTATCGCCAATTTAACAAAAAGTATTCAATTTGGAAAAAAGGCAAATACTGTCCACAAACCAGACATATCTAGCTTCACAAAATTGTTTAGTTTGGAAAAATCGATTATGAGTTATGATGGAAAAATACATGTAGACTCTGCGAGTAAGTTGAAACAATTTAACTTTGGTGAACTCAACGCAAACCATTTTTCTTTGGTTTTCGGTGATTTGAGCGGCTTTTTCCTGTGAACGCTGTTCATAGGTATGGTAGGACAAAATGATATACTAGCAAATGTGTTACATAATCTCCGGGTCAATGACAAAATACATATTCCTCATTTAAATGTTAATTAAAGAGAAGTAGTTCGATATTTTTTAAAGTAGGATCATATTGTATGCATACATACTTTTCTTTATAACAAATAACTAGGGAATGTTTTGGCGTAATTCTAGAAGTTTGTGAAGAGGATTGGTTATGAACAGTAGAGTACCCTAATGATTTTGAGGTCATAAAGTCAAAGGTCAAGGTCACAGCTGCACTGTGACTATTAAAATTATAGTAATTTCAATCACTTGAGAACAATAGAAACTAATGTTGTTTTTTTTATTATGGATAATGTCCTTGACCAGTGGATATGCTATCTAATAGTATCTTTTGATTTTAAGTGGTTTTCTTTGAAATTTATTAAGGTAGGAACTATATACATTGTATATATATATATATATATATATATATATATATATATATATATATATATATATATATATATATATATATATATATATATATATATATATATATATATTGAGGTCAATATTTTATATAAAACTTTATGTTAATTAATCTAATTTATTTTTTAAGAAGAAAGCCAAAAATACTAATCACCTGTGTAACTGGATTATCAGTAACCCAGTGATCATCAAGGAGACAAGATACGTTGTTTATATAGAGGTTAATATTTGATTCTCCTTTGCCCAATTATTAATTTATTTCAGAGTGTAAAGAATTAAATGAAAAACAACAACCAAGTTTTAATTTTAATGTTATTTAAATCACACTCTGTTTAAATCGAAACTCAAACCAAGATTTTAGAGGTCTTATTCAAGGACGGTCATGTCATATAAGTACGACTTTAATAAGGATACAAACAAAATTTAATTTAAAATTTAATATTTCAAAAGCATAACAATTAATTAATAAGCTTATTTTCATTTATTTTGGTACCAAATTATACAGCTTCGTGTGGATTACTATCGCTGAAAGAGCAATTTTCACACAATTCAAATAATGTTCTCAAAAACCACAAAACGAAGAAAAATGCACTTTGCATTGTCATTTGAAGAAAATTTCCGCGCATATGATACGCTAGGTTTTGTTTTGATTTAAGAAACGTTTGTCACCTTGATTTAACATGATAAGGTACTTACCGGGGCTCAGCAGTCACCATTTTCTCGCGGGTATTACTATACAAAGTCACGTGATTCCCCCCACCCCCCTTGACTCCAAGGCTTTAATTTGAACAATCTTGATACAAGTCCATGTGACTGTTTCATGTCAAATATCTAAGATCTAGCTTTCTCCGTTTAAGAAAACATTTATTTTAGTTTAGAGTTATTGCCCTTGACTTAGAATATTTTTTTTTTGGAATTTTCAACTTGTGTCGCATGTAACTCAAAAAGGATTTGACATAGAGTCATTAAACCTTACGGGAAGGTTGCTCAGCATATTTAGTTTTGCACCTGGGATTTCGCTTGTGGATTTATCCAGTATTTGTAGAGTTACTTCCCTTGACTTAGTAGAAACCGTTCCATTATGTTGTTATTTGTTCCTTGAGTGCTTGAGTTAGAATCAACCAACTTTACAGGAATAATGATCAACATCACTAAATTACAGGAATAATGATTCACATCACTGTGAAGCTATGCACCTGGGACTTTGCATGTGGATTATTTTTAGTTTTGTTAGAGTTATTGCCCTTGACTTACAGTGGTATAAATTTGCAATTTTCAACTTGTTCATGCATAGCTCAAAGAGTATTTGACTTGTAGGCCTGAAAGTTTACAAGAATGTTGGTCAGCATGTGTACTTATGCACCTTGGAGTTTGCTTGTGGATTTATTCAGTATTTATAAAGTTCTTGCCCTTTACTTAGTAAAAGAAATTTAGTTTTCAAAAAATAATTTGACATAGAGTCATAAGATTGACAGAACAGTGGCGCGGTGGAGGCACCCGTGTCGTATGGACACATTTCTAGTTGTTTTTTTTAACAACAGACAGGAACCATTTGATCAATTTGAAAGAGGACCACCCAAGGATCATTCCTGTAAAGTTTGGTAAATGTGCACACATTTGTTTCAGAGAAGATGTTGTTTAAAGTAATTGTTCATGACGCATGTCCACAATTTCAAATATATATTTATCGTTTTTACTATATACATAAAAGAACAAGGGTGCCATAGTCACAAAATACGCCCGTTTACGAAAGCTTTAGATTGAGATGGGGGCATTATGAATAAGTGTTATCTAGCAAGCAAGTTTTTATTCTTGGCACTGTGTTGTTAAATGAACCTTAAAACAAATCAGTAGGGAAGATATGCACAGGATGTGTGACCTTGACCTTGGTCGCAGGGACCTGAATTTTATGCACGGCACTCAGCCTCACAATGATGAACATTTGTGCCAAATTATATTGAAATCCCTCTATGCATGTAGAAGTTTTGCTCCAGACAAGCATTTTTCTATGAGCTCTTACTGTGACCTTCACCTTTGACCTAGAGACTTCATGTGCAGGGCACTACGTCTAATGGTGGTGAACAATTCTATAAAGTAACATTAAAATTCCTCCATGCATGTAGAAAATATGCTCCGGACAACATCTGGATATTTAATCATCTCCAGTGACCTTGACCTTGCAAATATTAACCTAAATTAAATGTGTCACACCTGTAGTCATGATAGTTACCATTTGTGCTACAATCCATCAATAAATGATGACTAAATGGTCCCTATACACATCTTCAAATTCTTATCTGAACTTTGACCTCTATGTGTAACCTTGACTTTGGTCGCAGGGATCTGAATTTTGCGTGCGACACTCAGCCTCACAATGGTGAACATTTGTGCCAAGTTATATTGAAATCCCCCTACGAATGTAGAAGTTTTGCTCCGGACAAGCGTTTTTCAATGAGCTCTATGTGTGACCTTGACCTTTGACCTGGATCATGCATGGAGCAATACATATCATGGTGGTGAACATTTTCATAAAGTATTATAAAAATTCTTCCATACATGTAGGAGATATGCTCCAGACAAAATCTGGATATTTCACCATCTTTAGTGACCTTGACCTTGCATATATTGACCTAAAGTACATGTGTCACAGCCGTAGTCATGATAATGACCATTTGTGTTACAATCCCTCAATAAAAGATGATTAAATCGTCCCTATACACATCTGTATATTTTTATCTAAACTTTGACCTCTATGTGTGACCTTGACCTTGGCTGCAGGGACCTGAATTTTGTGCGCAACACTCTGCCTCACAATGGTGAACATTTGTGCCAAGTTATATTGAAATCCCTCTATGCATGTGGAAGTTTTGCTCCGGACAAGCGTTTTTCAACGAGCTCTAAGTGTGACCTTGACCTTTGACCTAGAGACCTAGTTTATGTGCGTGACATGGCTTCTCATAATGGTGAACATTTCTATGAAATTTCATTAAAATCCCTCCATACATGTAGGAGATATGCTCCGGACAAAATTGGACGCCGCCCGCCCGCCCGCCAGGGGCGTTCCCATAATACGTCCCGTTTTTCAAACGGGCGTATAAAAATTAAAGACCCCCTGTGGTGGGGCCAATTTTGACCCCACTTGGTTGACACTCACTAGAAGATGTTCCATGCCAAATATTTAAGCTCTAGCTCTTTGGGTTTTTTAAAAGAAGATATTTTAAGTTTTTTCTTTTGGTTGCCATGGCAACCAGAGTTTGAAAAATTTTTAAAGGTGACCACCAAAGGAATATTCCTGTGAAGTTTGGATGAAATTGGCTTAGCAGTTTATGATGAGATGTCGTTTAAAGTAAAAGTTTATCGATGGACAACAGACGGGTGCCAGGCGAAAAGCGATCACAAAAGCTCACCCTGTCACTTTGTGACAGGTGAGCTAAAAAACCTAGTGCTTGTAGATTGAGGGCCCTTGAATGATCATTCCTGTAATTTATTTTGTCACAATCTATCATATGTTGTTTAGGAGAAGATATTACTTAAATATTATATGTGCAATGCAGTGGTATATCATGTTATCACATAACACAACCTGATCACTTCTATGATCAGGTGAGCTAATAACACAACCCGATCACTGATTGAATAAATTCTATGATCAGGTGAGCTAATAACACAACCTGATCACTGATTGAATAAATTCTATGATCAGGTGAGCTAATAACACAACCTGATCACTGATTGAATAAATTCTATTATCAGGTGAGCTAATAACACAACCCGATCACTGATTGAATAAATTCTATGATCAGGTGAGCTAATAACACAACCTGATCACTGATTGAATAAATTCTATTATCAGGTGAGCTTATAACACAACCTGATCACTGATTGAATAAATTCTATTATCAGGTGAGCTAATATAACACTACCTGATCACTGATTGAATAAATTCTATGATCAGGTGAGCTAATAACACAACCTGATCACTGATTGAATAAATTCTATTATCAGGTGAGCTAATATAACACTACCTGATCACTGATTGAATAAATTCTATGATCAGGTGAGCTAATAACACAACCTGATCACTGATTGAATAAATTCTATGATCAGGTGAGCTAATATAACACTACCTGATCACTGATTGAATAAATTCTATGATCAGGTGAGCTAATAAAACAACACAACTAAAATCTTTGTGCTGATTACTTTTTATTAATTTCAAATTTTCAACAATAAATTAAAATGATACATTAATTATGAAATGTTTAGTATCTCATTGTTACAAAATAACCGTTTAACCCTTGAAATACTATATTTTATAATGATTTGTATTTGCAACTGGTACAGGACCTCAGGTCAGCCAATATTATTAATGCTGCAATTACATATATGCCAAAATATTTTAAAGCTGCATGCCTCAAGATGAGTCAAAATATTTTGATAGAATCAAACTTTAGAAATATGTACTACGATTTTAGGAAACATAAAATGGTTTAAGATTTAACTAATATTTTACATATTATGTGCAGTTAATGACTAATTTTTTAGTATTTGCAACTATATTTTTACTGCGTTACTAACGCAGTAAGGGTTATTTATGCATATTTTGACTACTTTTTGGTAATTTACATGGCTTGTAAGTGTCATTGATAATGTGTAAATGGCTTCCTTTTGGTTATTTCACAATATATTACATTCAAATATATTTTCAAAATTTTCATGAAAATTAGCATAAATCTGGAGGCGTGCTGCTTTAAGACAATCAAACTTAAGAAAAATGTACTAAGAAATTTACAAAAAGAAAAAAGATTGAAGTAATAATTTTCATGTTATGTGTGATAAATGATTTAATGATTAATTTTTGTAGATTTTTTCACCATAGTTCTACAGTAACTGGGTTACTTATGCAGTATTTAAAGGGCTATTTATGCAAACTTTGACCTCTTTTTGGTAACAACCGTGGATTTAAAGTGCAACTTGAAACATGTAAATTAATTTCTTTGTTCACTTGACAATATTTTACTTTTACATTAAGTTTCAAAATTGAAAATTATCATGTCATGAATCTGGAGGCATGCTGCTTTAATACTAAGTCTACCTATCTATGTTATAGCCCCTTCACTTAAACAATTCAGGGCAGGGCAAGTTTTCATTTTTTAAACAAATCAATCATGGTAAGAGGTAATCATAAACACAAACTTAATGTAAAGTACAGTATACTGTTATCTAAAAGAAAATACATGTACATTATTAATTTCTGTACATCTAATTACATTGTGTAATTTTTTATCTTGTTCGCTATTTGTTTTGTTAAGAATAGGAGAAAAATGAATTTTTGACAATAAAATTGTATAAAATGTGATATTGAGTAAAATTGTGAACATTGTCAATTTGTTTGTATACTCAGTCAAAGTCTTGACTAAATATGACTTTGAAATAATGGTTATATTAAATGTAAAAACTGTGTCTTAATGTTTTACTTTGAGAAAGTCATAATAAAATTTGTTCTTTCCTAAATTTTCATTTACAGAGAAAATTAATACATTTAATAGTTATTTTAGTATAACATACATTCATTCGGTTTTACATACATGTATATACATTATGCTTTTAGTGTTTTTTGATCTACAGTATTGTAAAATTAGAAAGTGATCATTCATCATTTAAATAAAGTGAAATAAATAAACATTGAGAAATTGTATTTAATCCAGAGTCATTTTATAATAATGCAAAACAACAGCTTAAACATGTAACAAATTCTGCTTCAAATTGGTAGCAGCACATATAAGCATTTCCTTCTTTAATATATGGAATAAATTATATTTATTAGGTCAAAGTAATTTCTTCACAACAAGCTAAAGTTTATAACCTAGCACCTATATCAGCTGTTTTGTATGAGAACTTTGCTACTATTGTAAGTTCCCCTTGTTTTGTTATTGCAAAGTGTAAAATTAGAGGCGACACTTTATCCTGCCACGTGTTAATTACAAAGTTCTCTTCTACAAATCCTTCCCCGATATACTTTATTTCTAAATTATCAAGTGGGTATTTCCCAATATTCTCTGTAAAACCAGAGTACAGTCCCTTTAAAGCTGCTTCGGTGCCTGCATCGGTACACCATTTGACATATATGGACTGATTCACATGCCCATTATGGTCAATATCACTATAACATGACGTTACTTCATACTGGAAAGCATTCCCAGGAATTTCTGGAGTGGCTAATCGCGGTAAAGCCGGTCCGAAGCTTTTTAACTTTTTCGCCTCAATGTACCAACCTGGAAATGGTGCCGGCTTTCTTGTTTTGTAGTCAATGTAGACAAATGTCATTCTAGCAGACATTAGTAATTTCTTGTTTTCGTAGTTGGTCAATTTTATTTCGAAACAAAACGCAGATGATCCTGAATAAATTATATCTAATGTTGTGTACATGGGGAAGTTCAATCCCCAATGTGGTCTGGTATTCAGGGTATTACCATATTCAGAGATATGGTATGCTGTACTTGCCATAAATATTGAGTGTTCATCATCTTTCAGCCTATCAAAATGCCCAAAGCCATAGGGTAACACTGCGTAACGAATACATTCAAAAAGCTTTGCCATAGACCAGAGGTTCATCTTACCTGCAATAAAAATGTTTGATTGTTTCTTAAAGAACTACTCCTTCCCATATAGTAAAAAAAAATCATTTTTATTATATCAGTAATTTTTTGTTTTGACATGTTGTCTTCAAAGCAAGTTACCAATTATCTATAATTTTATATCAGAATATTCATATTAAAGAAAAAAATTGACAATAGGATACTACTAAACTACTAAAAACCAATGATTGAACCAGGTCTCTGACAAAGCTTTTCATTGCTAAAACTTTTTGAAAAAAAAAATAATAACATAAAAAAGTCTGCAGTAATCATTTATTAAAGAAAGCACTCTTGGTTTATTAAATCTCCCAGTAATAGGTAGTCTTTCAAAATTTGTTGAAAAGGAGCACTTAAGTATTTTCTCAGTAATTGATAGTGGAATAATAAAGATGAGGTTTGATATTGATCGACAGAAAAGCGACATAATTTTGAAGAAGCTAATACTTCCACTTGTTAGTAAATTATATTATAGTCCAATTTCACCTTGTATAATTTGAAAGTCTGAACATCATTCATCCTACTGAACTATGCATATTTATACATTAAATTATCTATCTAAAAACACCATACATTTTTGATTATACATCATTATAACCATAGCTCAACAAATGCCATTACCTTACATACTATAAAATGTCATTTTCATATTGAAAATTTCTTTTCCCTCCTTTCCAATTGAAAACATTAAACAACTACTTTCGTTTTCATTTTCCCAAACATTTATAAGTATGTCATCATTAACTAAAGCCTCCCCAACAAAGTTCATTTCTATACTTTTCACTGCATACTTTTCAAGGAAATTTTCAAATTGTTTAAAATGTCCATGTATTGCTCCAGCAGCCCCAGCATCGGAGCACCATCGCACATATGTAGTTTGATTTACATGGTTATTTTGATCACAATCGCTATACAGGGCTTTAGTATTGAAGCTGAATGCAAAATTAGACATTTGTTGACTGTCTGACTTTGGCAAAGATGTCATTGGATACTTTTTAAAATGATCGTCCATATTCTTCTTAGAGAAAGCGTCAGGCAGAGGTGTTGGCCTTCTTGATTTACGATCTACATTGCAAAGTTTTGAAGAGAACGAGCCAATCTTAACGTTTATTTCATTAAACCAATCTATCACTAAGGTAAAAGTTGTCTGTCCAACATGAGAAACATGCAATAAAAATCTCTGTGGTTTATTCAAACAGAAATAGCTGCTGAACTTGACATCATGTGCCTCCCGACTTAATGTGAAAACCTGCTTGACTTCAAACAACGTTATACTGCAGCCAGGATGGTAGAGGTCTTGAAAGTAATTGAAACCCTGAAACCATGCAGTTGAACGAACACAATCATGTAGCTTTGCCAAACTCCAAAGAGTCATTTTACCTGTTTTAATACAAGAAATCAAATCATACGTATTTTTGGGTCCTTTACATATATGTATATCATTAACAACTTTCTACAATTTTAGACTGAACTACAAAGACATATCAAAAACAAAACCATCTGTAATGCTCATTACTCATGCTCTTAGTTAAGTTTATGACTTGTCTTTACAAATATACTTTAACATTTAACCTGCTGAATTTAGGTAATGGATTTGTCCTGCTTTGGAACTGGAACAGTTCATTCAAAACATAGGAGGTTTACATATAAAAATACAAAAACTGACCTTTCTACTGTATTATAGAGCCTGATCACACTACACGGACATTCAGGCTGGCCTGGCATTATATAGATAGAAAAATGTTTGAATCTCAGTTTGGGTTACTGCAGGGGTGTGGGTAACATAATCATAATTAACATAATTGTAAATTTAGAACATTGTTCTGTTTTAATATTTTGATTACTAATCAAATGTTCATTGTTGTGGTGCATCTGAAAGTTACCACAACTTCTAACAAACTTACAATTTTCACTAAATTAAACACTTTTCTAATTAAACACTTTTATTTCAATTTTGTTAGCATTTTCTAAAGAATAGAGGCACCACAAAGAAATATGAATATTCAGGATCAAAATCAATATTTCAGTATTTCTCCATATTTTATGTAGTATTACATTTATTAACTTAACTGTAAACCTACTAGGGGCTACAGAATCTACCCATGTGACCATTGCAGACAAAGATGATCCGCCATGCACGGGGCGGCAACACACGGGGCTACCACGCACAGGGTTGGCACCTGTGCCATCTGATCATGGTCTGCAATGTTAAATCAGTATATTTTTGGTAATTTTCACTATAAACAATGAATGATCTTGTCCAGATTTACTGTTTAAAAATTGAAACAAATTAAATATTGATCCTGATCCTTGATCCGATATAATTCATAAACTTTAAGCCAAAATAGGTTTGGCTTACAGGAAAAAATCAGTTTATAACATCTACAGTGTTGGCATGATATCATCAATGCAAATTTCACACACTCAGTTGCATGCAATGTCATATTTGATTTTGTGATAGTTTTTTGGGGGGGAAGAATACAGGTCTGATGATTAATGAATGTGACACAATAATATTATATGTATATATCACGCAAACAGTCACTGTCAACAAAATATTGAGATATTTTAATAAAAAATTCATTCATTATAATAATCACGATACTAAAAACTTCTCATCATCAAAAATTTGCTACTAAAAATAGCTTTACACAAAGGCTGATAAAAAATGCATTCTAAAAGAAAAAATTTAGGGTGACATAAACAGGCTTCTATAGTATACTAACAGAAAAAATTAAGGTGGCACAAACAGGCTTCCATAGTATACTGGCAGTGAACTAATTATTCATAAAAATATTGCATGATTTCAATACATCAAGGCAAAATACAAATGTATTTCTGTGTTACATTTTTGAACTATTATCAACAGACTGATTACTATAGAATGACATGTTCATGTGAAAAATGATACTTCTTTCCTTAAAAATGCTAGAGAGGTGTTGACTTCAAGAGGACATTCCCAAACATTTACAACTAATTCATCATTCAAATAACCTTCTCCACTATAATACAATTCCATAGATTTCAGTGGATACAGTTCGATATGTTTGTTGAAGATCGAAAAATGTCCAGCAATAGCACCAGCCGAGGCCGCATCAGAGCACCATTTTAAGAAGGTCGCTTGATTAACATGATTATTATCATCACAGTCACTGTATAGCGCTATGACCTTCAAACTATATGCCTTGCCTGGAATTATTGGCAAAGGTACTTTTTCAATTGTGCGCGGATGAATAGTAGCAAAAGCGCCTGAATGTTTTGAAAGAAATCATCAGGCAGGGCCACTGGTCGTCTTGTTTCTGCGTCTGCTGCAATATGCTTTGTGAGAAATGATCCAATTTTCTGGTTATTGGTATCAAACCAGTCTACGTTTGTAGTGTATGATGTTTTTCCTGCGTGACTCCAATGCAATAAAAATCTTTGTGGCTTGTTAAGTCCAAAATGACTCCTCTTACGAAGGTAATGTGCTTCTTGCGTAAATGTGAACAACTGACCAACTACAAACACTATTACTCCAGTTCTACGAAGATTGTCCGGGAAAAAGTTATATCCTTTTAAGCCTTTACTGAATGCAACTGAGCGAACACATTCACATATCTTTGCTAATGATGAAAGATGCACTTTACCTGTATGGAAGAAAACTCATTTCATTTATTTTGAAAATCTTATCTTGTAAATTCATTCATTAAGATAAATTCCTCGATTACACAACTCATATACTAACATCTGAATCAGTGTTCTCTGTAACAGTACCAGTGGTCATTAAAATCACTTGCTATAGCAGAATTTACTGTCAGCTTTTGTAATTAACCATTATAAACAAGAATATTGTTGGAAATGATGAATATGTTTTCATTCTATCACAACATTTTTTGCATAATTAACAATTGCTTGATGGACACACAACTTCCAAATAGAAGATGCATAGTGTTACAGTGTTAGTGTGGTCATCCTTATAAACTGGCTTACTCTAAAGGATACCATTAAATATCACAAAAGGAAAAATTCCCCTTACATCCCTTGTATTTTCAATGAATATTCTGAAAGGTCAAAATAAAGGTTAAACAACATGATAGCTTGGTATCATCGATATAACACAAAAGAGTAGTACAAAAATAGAAAGGAAATGGATAATGAGAAAGAACAGTTCACAAAACCACTCAAAATTGACAAACTAATTATGGTTTTTGACCATAGCAATCTTGACCATAGAGCAATCTTGACCGTAGCAAATTCTCTCAATGTAGACTGTCTCTGTGAACATTTTTTTTACAAAAAAACTTTTGAGTTGGTCTTTTTATACATCATTTAGATCATATTGAGGGCTTGGTGCAAAAGGATTGTAACTCATATTAAACTAGAAATGTGTCCATAGGACACGGGTGCCCCCACCGCGCCACTGTTCTGTCAATCTTATGACTCTAGGTCAAAAAATTTTTGAAAACTAAAAATCTTTTTACTAAGTAAAGGGCAAGAACTTTACAAATACTAAATAAATCCCCAAGCAAACCCCAAGTTGAAAATTGCAAATTTATACTACTGTAAGTCAGGGGCAATAACTCTAAAAAAACTGAAAAAAAATCCACATGCAAAGTCCCAGGTTAATAGCTTCACAGTGATGTGAAACATTATTCCTGTAATTAAGTGATGTTGATCATTATTCCTGTAAAGTTGGTCGATTCTAACTCAAGCACTCAAGGAACAAATAACAACATAATGAAACAGTTTTTACTAAGTCAAGGGAAATAACTCTACAAATACTGGATAAATCCACAAGCGAAACCCTAGGAGCAAAACTAAATATGCTGAGCAACCTTCCCATAATGTTTAATGACTCTATGTCAAATCCTTTTTGAGTTACATGCGACACAAGTTGAAAATTGCAAAATTGTACTAAGTCAATGGCAATAACTCCAAAAATACTAAATAAATCCACACGAAAATATCCAGGTGCACAACTACACATGCTGATCAACATTTCTGTA